GAGCTTCGTGCTGCAGGTCTCAATCAGATTAGTGCAGTTTGGGGCTAGGGTCATCAATAACAGGTCAGGTGATTGGAGAGTAGACCTTTCAAAGCTACCACTGAGAAAAGAACTTGATCAACTTTATTTTCTGAACTGGATCAGGCCCCTTTCACCTTGGGGAACAATTTAGATTCTCTCACCACGGTTAATGGATCCCAAAATCTGGTGCCCCTGGGTAAAAGAAGTGCGAAGTGGCCTGATTACTGCTTACACGACTGACCCCTTACCCAACCCTTCCCACATTCCAACAAAGGAATTCCAGCTCTTCACTGGCTCAGGCTGTCACACGCTTCCGGTTTAGCCTAATGCCAATATTACATTGGTCCTCAAGCAATGGCACAGTATGTGAAAAAAGGAATCTATATAGATGGTCCCAGGGAGCCCCAGTTCAGTTACTGATATAGGTCATACTGAATCACCTAACCAATAGATTAGGGGCATGTGTGTAATCAATTGATCAATCAAGTAACATTCCTGTGAAGAGAACATTGGTTCGTGGCGGCTAAAGGATATTCTGATTTTTGCTCAGATCAGAGAAAGTGTTCTAGGTTTTGGAAATCGAATGTTTATAGATTGTGAGAAAGGTGCTCTGCAGGCCAGGGGTTTTAAACTCCGGATTTAAAAATGTCCCGGGACTGGGACCAAATAACACATGCAGACTCAAAATTAAAATAGAGCAATTAAAAGTAAGCCTTGCAGGAACTGAGCTGGACTCACCCCAAGCTCAAAGACATGAAAAAGTACCCCTGGACAGAAAGCAAATCTCAAAAGCAACGTCACATTTGGTTGGCTTTTTTCCACTGTATGGATCACGGGTTTTATATCGAAAGCCATCAGAAACGAAACTGGAGCCACAAGCACTAGTCCTGGGAAGACAGCGTCTCCAAATGAAACTAATCGATCACACTTAATCCAGATAAATGAGGTCCTGAGTCAAAGACATCCAGAACGCTTTGATGACTGCAAGCTCATGACCAAGTTCGCAAAAAATGAAGAGGCAGAGGCAGGACACAGCTGGAGTTATCTGATTATATTCTCATACAAAAAATGTGTCTGAAACGTTGACTGGACAGAACAACGTGCAGGTACACAATTTTACAGACCTGGTATAAAAAAGATTTACACACACACAAACCTGGCAAAAAAAAAAAAAAAAAACCTAAAATTAACCGGCTGGAAGGGGTGCAGGGGCCACAAAGGTGCTTCTGAAAATTTAAAAAGGTACATTACAAATCCTGCAAAAAAGCAACTCAAGATAAAACTCCCCTCAGAACAGATGTTCCTATTTTGTTTTACAATCACTAATGCAGAAAGGAAACTCATAGACACATAGATTAACGTAAATGAAAATTTCAGGGGTTTTATACAGATTAAATTAACAGCTATGTCATTTTTTTTTTGCACAAAACCAAAAACTAGGAAGGACACATGAGGGTTTTACAAAGCGTTTCACTGCTTCTGAAGCAGTGGCGACATCCTTTTGTGTTACACTTTGTGATCTTGGATCGTTAAAAAAAAATAAAGGTAAAGAAAGCTACTTAAAAATAAAGGACCCATGTTTCCACAGACATCTCCTGTAGGTCAGGGCAGTCAGCTCAAGCCTAACGGCTCCCACCCTCTGGTTACCCGTCCACAACTTACACAGAAAAAAGAAAATTAACAGTCCATTAGAGAAGACTTCCAGGCTCGGACCATCTGCCCTAAAGCTCTGGACAGGATCTGTATTTTGCTCTGAGAAAATGGTATTGTTTTCCATTGGCCTGGTAAACTGAAGTAGCTTTGTATATGAGGCCATCATGCTACACAGGGCAATGAACCTGTAGATTATATGGAGCTGTGCATTAAGCTTAACACATGCACAGCTGAACTCCAGACACAAGGGAACAGCTCAAACTTTTTTTCCAGCTCTCCTCTAGCACAGGCTGTAATGCACAATAAGGTGGAGTTTCCAAGCGTGCAGCTTTCTGTAATGGACTAAAAAAAAAACAACTGATCAGAGACAATGAAACCCAACCTACACCTGCACTCTACTTCCCCCTACTGCTCCCGGGATAGGATAAGATAAGATAGACCTGTTACACACCGCCCTGCCTCCATTATAAAAAAACCTGTCTTGTGAGCATCATCAGGCACCGCCTGTCTCCCCCACTCACAGCAGGTCTGCTGATGAGAGGTCACACAATGTAAGGTCTACCCCCACCAGTAGCAGGGGTCCTCTGTAGACAAGCTGCGCTGCGTGGTGAATCAATCCCACCAGTGGCGGGGGTCCTCTGTACACAGGCTGCACTGCATGCTGGGCCTACCCCACTAAACAGTAGGGAGGCACTGTAGCTAGGCCGCACTCCTTGTAGGGTCTACCCCACCTGAAAGCACTAACATAAGGCGGCCTAACCAGGTAAGGTGCGCCAGGAGCTCAGGTGTGTATTTACACCCCACACCTTGCCGGTTCCAGCTCAAGTCACACCAAGACTTGATCCTGACCAGAATCCCCCCCCCCCAGTATCGGTGCCACCAGGGGGAGGGTCAGGATTAACAGGGCTTTCTGGCACGACTGCAGCAACTTGCCAGGTACTGAAGTGATGGCAGCATCAAGTCTGCTGCCAGGTGGCGTGGAGCCCGCGGTACGTTAAAATGGAATGGTGGGCGTGTCAGAGGCGCATGTCTGCACATCTCCAACTCTCCCAAGCAGGTGCGGCAGTGCCACGTCTTGAAAAGTGCTTCCATTTCCAAGCTGAATGGCAACATAATAAAAATACACCCTCAAAGAAAAAGAAGAAACTGATGCTGTGGACATCTGAGCTGGGGAGAGGAACTCTCTCCCCTGGCTCAGAGACCGCGGTGTGACTCCTAACAGGACACACTACTTGCACCAGCACGAGGGAGCTAGCCTGAGGAACCCCTGCTGTGGAAACTGCGGGGACCACGAGGGAGCGAGAGAGCGTGAGAGGGATAACAGATAAAAAAGGAAGAAGGGGAGCTGGCAGGTAGCTGGGGAGTTCATATGATGGTACGCAGAGGGTAAACAGAGAGATGTCTGCTTCAAACGGGCTTCTGTTTGCTGTGTGTCAGCGCAGATAAGCGGTATGAGGGGGTTGGAGCACAGGACAGTGGGGTCACTGCTGGAGCTGCTGCCATGGTTACTGCGTGCCCGAGCCCTGGGTGCTGCCAGAGTAGTTGCCGTAGTTGCCATAGTTGCCATAGTACTGATTCCACTGGCTCTGGTTCTGATAATACTGACTCCACTGCTGGGCGTACTGGAGGACAAAAGAGAGAAGAGACGGGTTGTTACACAGCCTGCACTGAGCCAATGAGACAGGTTAATCCACTGCTCACACAGCCTGGGAGACCCCAAAACAGGCAATGCAGAATGCAAACAGGAGAACGGCTTCTAGCAAAAGGCCATTCAGGCTGAATGGCAGTTAGCGGCAATCTTTCCTGCTTGGAAGTTAGTAGCTAAGTGATCCAAAGATCTCACGCAGCTTCCTTTCACAAATCGAAAGAAGAAACAAGGGAGAGAAAGACAAACAAATACCACAGGGTACAGGAAGAAGAAAGAGAGAAGAATCCAGCCACTGCTCAGCCCACCTGCTGGTACTGCTGCTGGTTGTAGCCCTGCTGCTGGGTGTAGCCCTGGGTGGTGGTGGCAGGGGGCTGGGTGTAGGCCTGGTTGTACCCTGGGTACTGACTGTACCCGGGATAGTTGTAGCTCTGGTTGTAGCTGCTCTGGTTGTAGGCTCCTTGGTTATAGGCGCCTTGGTTGTAAGTCTGGGGCTGCGAAAGTTACGAGGAAGAAGTTAACTTCAAGACAACAAACTTACAAACATCACAACTGTTCAGGCGAGTTGGAAAAAAAAACACTTTTATGGGTCGACAGGTCAAAAACAAAGCATAAACAAGGAAGGCGACAAGGGGCCTTTTAAAGCTCTGTCATGGAAACAGTTGGAGTGCGAGCGAGAAGCTTGTACCTGCTGCTCTGCTGTGTCCGCGCTCCATACCTGAGCCTGGCTGTAGCCCCCGCTGCCCCCTTTGCTGTATGGAGCGACGCGGTTGTGGTTGTAGCCGCCACCAGACTGCTGGTTTCGGTTGTAGCCCCCGCGGCCCCCTGAGGCACTGTCACGGTGATTTCCACCGCTGCCCCAGCGGTTCTGGTTGTATCCCCCACGGTTGTAGCCTGCCAAAGCGAGGAATGCATTACCTCCGAGAGCTGATGACACACACACACACACGGATAGAGAGATAGTGAACAGGACAGAACCTACTGCCCTGAGCACGGCCACTTAACGCATGCACAAAGGAGTCATACACAAACACTTCACGCATTCAGAAAGAGGCTAAGACGCTCTACACTGGACAAGACACACCAGACTGAAAACGAGAGATGCAGATGTGAGCACGTGTGTGCAGTGCAGAGCCTTGAAGAGTACAGATGAGTTCATTACAATCGGCACTGGCTAATAATTTAAACCCAACACAAAAAACACTGAAGAAAGGGGTCAGTATACAGAGCACTCAGCCTGAAAACTGAGGAGAGTTAAAGCTAACATGGCGACAGAGGTAGGTCAGTAGAGAGACAGGAAGACCGAAATGCACACAGGAAGCAACGTTCCCCAAGGATGGCCACCGTGAACCCGAGAGACCAGCAGGCTCAGATCAGAAATGTCCTCCTCTCACCTCCTCGGTAGCCCCCAGAACCGCCTCCTGCCCCTCCGCGGCCCTGGTACCCGCCCCTGCCGCCCTGCGGGCCGCCGCGGCTGTCGTAGCGCTGGTAGCCGCCGCCCCGGCCCCTGAAGCCGCCGGGACGGTTGTCGTAGCGCTTGTCCGGGGGCGGGCCGGCCTTGCGCCCTTCCTCGTTGTACTGCTTCACCAGCTTCTCCGCCTCCTCGCCCTGGAGCTCGATGTAGGTCACGCCGTCCAGGAACTCGCCCGCTTCCGGGAGGGTGAAGTTAGCTGGGAGACCAGACGGAGCAGGGCCAGAGGAACCGGTCCGCCGCAGGAGAGAGAGGGGGAGGGGGGGGTCGCCAATCCCAGCACCATCCAGTCAAAGGGACAGGAGAAAGTGGAGCGGAGAACCAGCCGAACCACCATGGAGACAAAGAGAGACACGTCAGTTAACATCTGAGCGGAACGGCGTCATCCACAGAGAGAAGAGGAGGAGGAAAAGCGAGAGGAGGTGGGGTGAGGGAGTGAGTGTGTGTGCGCATCTGGAGTGCCGAATGTTTTAAAACACTTTCCGAGGACAAAAGTTACCTCGCAAAACAAATGGGAGGGAAAATTTGCCCCGATTTGAAGGAATTAAGGAGGGATGAAAAGAGAAAGGAAGGTGTGAGGAAAACACCAGATGAAGAAAAGGGTTTTGAAGAATAGGTAGGAGGAAATGATGCTGCTGCAAACCCAAACATTTGCAATCTGAGCCAAATTAAAATGACTGAATGATGTACTAGTCCTGCAAAGCAGGTTTAAGTGTCAGCTTTTTTAACCATTTCTTTTAAGTGATCATGCACAACCTGGACGTTCGTTCACCGCTCATTTTTCTCCACTTCCACCAGTTTATTGCAGCTGTGGTCGCCAGACTAAAGCACAGGGTTCGAGTTTGAAATTAAACTCTATTCCCTGCCATATGTAAAAATAGAACAGACCACCGGCACTGGGGAAGAGGGTAGCAAAATATTACGAGAAAAAAAACTAGCCAGCCAACCCATCCTCCCTGAAGTTTCTCTCTTCAGGGTCATATATGTGAAAAAGAAATTAAAATATTTCACAAAGAAAATCTCATCTTGTTTTCACTGTTTGTGCTATAGTCCGGCACGTTGAACGCTGTGGATTGGCTGCAAAGGGGGTCACAATATTTTCGAGCTGCTGCATAGTGCTGCTCTTTTGGACATCATCTGCCTGCTGAAAACAGCAACTCAGCTGTTTCTGGATGTAGCCAGAGCTCAACCTGCACTGCACATAATTCAACAGCCTGTCTCATCGTGAACAGATGGAGACCAGGCACGCAGTAAGTGTGAGTCTGGTGTGAGTGACAGACAAGGGAACCTGCTGGTGGGCGGCAATGGCCTCGTTCACTGGGGGGAGAGAGCAGCAAGAGCCAATCGCTCCACACAGGAACAGAGCAGAGGAGGCCGCTCAGCGTGTCAGGGCTAACTGATCCAAGGAAAGGGAAAGCGGGATCACGGCGCCGACAAGTGCAGCTTCTCCAGACCGAGTCAAAACATGGGAATAATTCACTACAGGTTAAAAAAGCCCCACATTTAATGAGGCCAGCGAGTACAACATGTTAAGTGCTTTGAACCAACACAGAAAACATACAGCTTTGCCACTGACTGTGGTTGAAACAACCTCATCACAGGCTTGCCAAAATCTCACCATTACTACTAGCAGTGTGAAGTTTGGGGTTTGCAGCATTAAAAAAAAAAGTAGAACAGGAGATTAAGAAAGGGGAACTGGGAGAATTCCAACAAATCAGAAGAGGAAACGGGAAGAAATCTGAAGGAATAGGTGGGAAAAGAGGATAACTGTAAAGGGAAAAAAGGAACAAGGAAAAATTTTAGGTGGGAGGGGACAAGGGAATATCATCTTCCAAGTTGGGTTGAAACAGACGGCAACATAAAAAACAAAGTAAAAAAATAGAAAATAAAAGCAGATCTTGTTTTTTTAAATTGTTTTTGTTGGTTTTTTTTTCCAAAGAACTCCTACCTTTCATTTCTAAAACCGCATGATCTGGCACATCCTTCCCTTCCTCATCAGTTCGCTTTAATGTTCGCTCTTTTAAGTCCTCGTCCGTGGGACAAATTACAATAGCCTTGCGTTGAAAACCTTCAAAAGGACGCATTTTTCGTCTCTGGGCTGATCCATATACATTTGTCTAGCAATGGTGACAAGAAAGAAGTAAAAGCTGTTCATTATTGTTGAGTTTGTGCTTTACGTTACGGCTTTGCCTTCCATAGGAGGGAAATAGGAACCCTGCAAGGATGAAAGTTAAGAGGTTTTTCCCTTTTTCTCGTTAGTCTACTTCGCTCAGGTGTCTATTTCAGGAGCTTATAGCTGGGCTCTATCTCACAAGCCCAGAAAACCTACCTCAGGTTCAGGACACTGGTGCACCTACGTCAATGGAAAGAAAAAAGTGAAATTAAGGGGACCCCCCTCAACCCCTAAGTGACTCGGATGGATCTGATTATCTAGACGTTACAAGTACACTTCTTTCGCATCCACCATAGCAATAGTAGCAATAAACGCGTTTGCCTGCAAAAACGTGTCCCACTGTCCACTGAGTCCCACTCATAAAAGCCACAAAGTCAGGGAATGAAAAACATCATTCAGATGTGAGGTAAAGACGCCCAATCATTTTGTCACATTCCTTAAAGCTTCAGGATACGGAACACTGCACACAGACCTGAGGCTCTGATATGAGGGATGGGGATGTTCTGCACTGTGAAAATCCTGCCTTCACTTTTTTCCATCAACATAACGATTAGACTTGTTCTAGTTTCCACCCAACCCCACTAAACCTGGGAGTTACTAAATCAGGACTCCAGGAACTGAAAACGATGGTGGCAGAGAGAGAGGGTGAGGCAGCGCAGCTTTCAAGAGAGTCCTGGGTAAATCAGTCACTCACAGCAGGTGGCATCAGCGTCACACACCTCACAGGTAACAGACAAACTAAAAGTGACCAGACACGGTGTGGAACATGGGACTACTTCTACAAGTCACTTCATACCTTTCTGAACTGGAAAGTCTTCCCACCTCACGAAGAATGACAGCTCATTCCAGACTTGTTTACAGAAAGAGTGCTGCACTGTGAAGCTAATGTTTCAACCTTGCCTTGGTCATATAACAGTGAGGCCTGCCAACTACCAAATAAGAGCAGGTCAACCAAATTAAAGCAGAAGAACTCTAGGGCTCAAAGAAGTCAAACGTGAATAGTCTTCCTCATAAAAAAATGACCTTGCTAGCACAAACAAGCGCATGTCGAAAACAGGAGGTTTTTCGAGACATCTCTGCAAAGACAAACTCATTTTCTTGTCTCAACTCCGACATGTTCAGAAAGTCAGAACTCCCTTTTCGGGATCCTGAGACCTGAGGGGCTGAAGAGGCCCACGAAACACTCAGATCCCGCAAAAAGAGGAGGAAAAAGGTTTGGATCTGGAAATAAAAGTCAAGTCTAGCACTGCATTGGATAGTATTGGCAAAGAGCACAACATCTTCCTTGTCACACTCTCCTACCACTGTGAGGCAGGAAAGGGCAAGGCTTGACAACAATTAAAACCCCCATTTCAGAATGGGGGTTCTAAAAAGAAACTGGTACACGTTATGAATTTAAATGAGCGTATACACACAAATACCTTCCGAACCTAAACGGGTCAGAGAAGTGCAAAACGTCTCACAGTGGATTTAAAGGAGGCTGATGAATACTGCTTAACCAATCGAAAAAAATGGAACCTAACATCTTCCAGTACCTGTGATGTAATTTAAGTCTATTTCCCATCTTTACATTAGATACTTAAGTAACACAAAACAGTAATTTGTTAGAATTACTGACTATTCTAACAAAAGCATCTCGAGTCTGTCAATACCATTGCAACTGTCTGTGCTTGTCATCATCCCACTCCAAATCAGAGCAAGGACAACATGGCTTAAAACCTCCTCTCTACGCTAATGGGGTCCCCAGGCCTTACCTGTACTTACCTGTTCTTCATTCGACACACTGTGCCTCTGACTCAGACAAACACACAGTACCTACCTGCGGATACTCACGGTCTCCTCAGGGACACCTGGGAAACGTCCACTAGACCCTACCTACCTCAGAGTACCTGGACATCAGCGCACTGAAAAGCCAAAGTCTGTTAAGTTTGTTTTCCACTTACCTTTTTCATTTTTTTACAATACAATATTCAACAGTTCCATATGCTACGTGTATAAAAAAAATCTCTATGATATAATCAAAGGCTATGTGAATTTTAACTGATACATATTTACGATTAACTTAGCAACAGAAGGTGTATTTCTTACTCACCAGGCAGATTACTTGTTTTTCAACATCATAATATTCACATGGACTATTAGTACGGTGTAGAAAACAGTTTCTTTCAACAAGACACATACAATATATAAAAAAAATAAAAGAATGAGTTTATATTCGGTGCTGTCATTCTAATGAAATAACAGTTCTAATGTATCTATCTAGAAACCATCACAGCAACAACAAGTTTAAGGAGAAAAGAAAAGTGAGGCCGAGTCACATGAAGTGTTACAGAAACAAATCCATATTCCTTGTACGCTAGACAGACAGCAGCAGGTGTGCGCGCGCGTGTCAGTGAGCAGGAGCACAGGTGGCAGGTGTGCGAGCAGGGGGCTGCAGACAGGACTGGGGGAGGGGGGCAGTACCTGGTCCAGGATGTAGTTGCGCCTCTTGCGCGCGGCGATCTGGATCAGCCTGTTCAGACACTGCGTCGCCTGCTGGATCAGCACGTCCCAGCGGCCCGCGTAGTTACGCTGACGGCGCAGGCCCATCACCTGGACAGAGGCAGGAGGCAGACCCAAAGCCGTTAAGAAGAGCGCTTGCAGATGCGGACCGTCTGCAACTCACACGCCCGTCTGCGTCTGAGCCCTTTACAGGACCTTACAAAGTCAGGTGGCCTGCAGAAACAGCTGTGTGGTGCAAACCGCAACTCGGGAGTGATGGATGTGGTCTTCATAAAAATGGGACCACACCCCATCGCGCTGTTCTCCAGAACCAAACGGCTTCACACTGCCATCACGAACTCAGACGACCGGCCTCCTTGCCCCATACCTTCATCTTCTCCATGATGGCATTGGTGCCCAGGATGTTGTACTTCTTCTCGGGGTTCTCCTCCGCGTGCTTCATGGCCCACGTGGTCTTGCCCGCCGCAGGCAGACCCACCAACATCAGGATCTAACAGGAAGGGGGAAGGGGGGGAACGTCAGAAGAGGAAACAAGACGAGCGCTGCTCCCCACAGCCACGCTACGGCTTGAAAATGTCATCACGATCTGAACATTTCACCAACTTCTACAACAAAAAGGAAAGGAAAATGAATCCTGTAATCAGACGAGCACTCCCCTCACCCACCTGCCCTATTGGATGTGGCCTCAAAAACAAGGACTTCCCTACTGCAACTTGAACCTCTACACCCACTGGCACCCTTACGCTTCCAGGATGGGCCCTTCAACTTCAGGAAGTAACCCCAAGTACAGACAGTCTAGTCTGGGTTCAAGGCTTGAACGCAAGTTAACATCATGTCTAAAACATCAGATGCCTTTAGAGATCTTACTCAGCACACACACACACTAGAAAGAAATATCCAAAAGAGAAAACACTTTTCTTTGCAGTCCAATATTTCTCCCAAAAGGTGGTCTTTTGGAAAGGTTTCAGGTGCCCTAAATGTATCCACAATAAACATGAATGACAAACACCCTTTGTCATTATTTTCATATTGCACAGCTGTCACTCTTTCCTCGATCGTTCTGCATACTGAGAAGCTTTTAAATTTATTTCCATTATTACAAGTAGGAATTTCATAAAAAATAAAATGTTTCTAAGCCTTTCAAGCTAATATTTTTCTTAATCCTCTAGAGGGAAGCTTTTTAAATCTCACTTTTATATACCAGTCAAAGTGGAGACAGAAAAATGCCCCCGTTTTTCCTACTGTGAAACACATCAGTCAGACAAAGAGGTAACCAAATACCTTCAACTAATTCACTCAATAAACCGTTTGAATCTCCTAATAGATGATTGTAGTTCTATCCCGGACTAGCTCGAAAGTGCACAAATGTAAAAAAAGAAAAGGTAATGTTTTTCGGTGTTTACTAGAAAACATTTATTAATAAAAAAAAATATGTAAATGTACAAAATGATCCCCAAATTTACATCCATCCAGGGACGAACAGTGAACCAACTCAGACACACAACAGATGCACCACGCCAGCAGGTGGCGCAGAACGGTCAGCAGGCCCCTGGCCCGTCCTTGTTCTGCAGCCGTTCGTGCCACTTCCTGAAGCAGTTCCTGTCCACAATGAGGCACAGCGCCACGTCGCAGCTCTCACACTTCCAAGGTGTTTTGTTCCTCGTCTTCTCCTCAGTGCATAAAACACAGTACTTCCGCCCAACACTGCTCTTAGAAGAGGGGTTTACTATCTTCCCATCCATGAGGGCTATAGGGACACACAGCCCCTGTTTCTTAGTGCTGGCCATGGCCTCCTCAGCCCCGATGCTCACAAGTTGTCTACAGAGCTCCTCCCTGAACACTTTGTGAGAATAAGCCTGAAAGCTCTGAATCTTAGCCAGGTCCTTGTGAAGGAGGTAGCTGTTCACAACCACCATGTCAATGAAGTGAAAGAAAACCTTCTTGTACCACTTTCGGGTTTTCTGCAACCTGCTGCAAAAGTTTACCCGGGAATCTGACAAACTCACACCTCCTGTGTGCTGGCTGTACGCCCTGACAGGCGTAGGGACGGGCAACATCTTCATCTTCAAGGATCCAGCTTGGTTCCTCACTCGCCGGTGGGCTATTTCTCCTTTATACGCTTTATGGATGCTGCTGCACATCGTGACTTCACGCTTATCCATCCACTTGGTGAAGAGCAGATTGCCATTTCTGAGCCAGCGCAGGGTTCCTCTCTTGGCCTTTTTAGGCATTCTGTTTTCTGTTGTCCGTGGGAAGCCCTCACGATTGTCCCTCATCATTCCACAAGCTCCTATCTTCAGTACGTGAAGGTCTCGAAATAGTGCTGTGCTGGTGTAAAAACTGTCCACATAAAGGTGGTACCCAGTGCCTAGTTGTGACCCCTTTATGAGCTCCATAACAGAGTCATAACTCAGCCCTTTCCCTGAAGCACTGTGAGACTTCCCTGTGTAGATACTGAAGTTACAGGTATATCCACTGGCGGCATCAGCCAGCACAAACAGCTTGAGGCTCCACCTTGATGGCTTCTGGTTCACGTACTGTTTGAATGCAATCCCGGCCTTTGAGGGCCTGATCCGTTCATCGATTGTAATGCTCTGATGGGGGTGATAGTATGTCTGACAGGCCTGGATCAGGGAATCCAAAAGGGGTCTGAGACAGAAAAGGCGATCGTGTTGCGGCGTTCCTCTTTTTCGATAATTCTTCTTATCTTCCTCCGGGTCACTGATGTGCAGAGTCCAGGAGATATCTTCAAATTTTGTCCTGGACATAACACTGCGGCAGACTGGAAGATTGTACGGCACACGAGGACTCCAGTAATCCCTAATATTATGAGCCATTAGGAGACCCATGTAAATCACAATGCCCATGTACCGATACATGTCCTCCACTGACACTGGAACCCACTGTAATTTCCTCCCCTGAGCCTGCAGCCTTTCAGCATTTTTATTTGTGTTTGTACACAGACTCTGTACAACACTGAGACTGAAAAAGAGCTGGAAAAGATCTAGCGGGGAATACGTCTTGGTGGTGTCCAGCTGTGGTCCAGGTGTCCGCTCTGGACAGAACGGGAACTGCTCAGGTTCCACGTCTTCTTCCTTCGCACTCTTCCACCTGTCCTCGGGGTCTGAGGCGGAGGATGTGTGGGCGCGTGCCCCCCTGCGTCCCACGGGACTTGACAAGCTGCTATGCGGAGAAGCTAGAATATACCGCCGCCTTCTTTTACGCGGACGAACAGCAGCACACCGACTTGGGAAGGCAGTGGGGGTTTCTTCAATGTCCTCACTGAAAACACACAAGAGAATAAGAATAAAATTTCTCCATCAGCACTGAGCTACAGACAATGAACCCGGCTGCCAGACAAAAAAAAAAGTTTCCTTCATCCACACTCGGCAGATTACAAACAAAGGAGCACCTTGGCCTTAAGTTAAGAAAATAGTCTCTCAAATTTAACACTGAATTATAATTTGTACATTAGAGAAAACAATGACAAATATATAATTCTATGTAGACTATGACACCCGTATAAAATCATCTACAGTTAAATGTGTGTATTGAAAAATACATATAATAACTACTGATAGTGTAGTTTTATAATATTACTTACAAATCCAGCAGTGGATCTAGTCCATCTTCATATGCTGCTTCGGAAACAGAATCAGCGCTGTCCAATCCAGAGAGCCCATCATCATCATCACTTTCTGTATTGGTGTCGTTCTCGCCAATCTCCACAACAATTTCAGGAATATCTCCACTTTCCTGCTCCTTCTCATCCTTGCAGGCCATTTTCTTTGGTTTTCCAAGCAATGGAAGTGAGAAAGTGCCACAAAATATTTTTGTTTTACTTTCGCTGCTGAGCGAAATGATGTGCTCACGCTCTCTATTGAAGTTTGTCTAAAGGGGTATCATCCAGCTCGTTGCTGCATGAGGTGACGGACATCAAATTATCGTTGGGCGGCTCGAGACCTTTGCAAGTTAGTTCGTCTGTCAGCAGCAAAATGCAAAGCTAATCTATGCCAGCTTTTGTTGAACCTCGAAGGACTGCAGGCACTGCAGAGCTGCAATCTCAGCAAAGGGACAGTACATTTGGAAAATTCTGTTGCCGTTTCACTGAAATTTTAAAGATGCATGGTTTTGTATATTTGTGCAAGTCATCACATTTGTAATATTTCATCGTAAAGAAAGCAAACGCGCAACTGCTCTTCATTTTGCTTACACCATCATGTATATTACACCATCATGTAAATGAGTTTATATGTACACATCCTGCTGCAGGACTGGCATTTGAAATACACAATCTGGAAGCCGAGACATTTTATGATGTGTCGTTTGTTGTGCTGTGCTTTGATTTAGTTGCTAACATTTCATGAAAGTGACTGGCAGGGCTGCATACGTTCCAGGGTAGTGCTGCCTCATTAACGCATTGGTTTTCTAAACACTCATTTCACTACTGAGAAAAGTTCAGCAGCTGGACTTGAGAGGATGCAGAAGATCACTCACACATGTAATACTTCGTAAAAATTTTAAAATTAAAACTCTGAAAGAAATCACATGATGTGAAGTGTAACCCCCCTGGCACTGTCCTGCAAGCGCCCACGAGGAGGAATTAAGCGATTAAAAACATCAACCTCCATTTCAAACTCACCACTGACTGGGACGAGGACCCAGTTCGTCCTCATGCTCGTCCCATCCCACCCCTCTCCTGCTCCACCGCCCATCTCACCTCGCACTCCGACTTGGAAGAGGGTCCCACCGTGCCGCGGACCCTGTCCTCCAGCGGGACGCTCTGGATCAAGGAGTAGCCCTCTGGGATGGGGAAGTAGGGCTCGTCCTTCTGCCCGAAGTTGAACTCGATGGCGCAGTTCTTGACCAGGACGTGGGGGAAGAGCGCCCGGCCCGCCAGCTCCTCCTTCCGCACCCGGAAGCCCTCGCCCAGCCACTGCCCGTTCTTGGAGAAGGCCATCTCCACGTCCTCCCCGGACTCAAAGTCCTGGAAGGGAGAGGGGCGGGGAAGGGGGTCCAGTGGGAAGGACAGGGAGGGAATAGGGAAGGAGGGGGAGAGAGAAACGATATTGAGGAGGGGGGCGGGGGTCCAAAAACCACCTGAAGCACCTCTCCCTCTTCGGAGCATCTAGTCTTCTCTCTCTACATCTCTTTTCTCGAGCCCAGGAGGAGCAGCCCCCTCCCTCACCTCCTCCTCCACCCACCCCTACCGCTCTGTGACCGATGGGGAAACACCGCCCAGCCCCGGCCCACAGCTCAAGCGCAGCTCAGCACTCACAATGTAGCAGCCCAGGACGTCGTTCTCGCCAAATCTCTCGCCGTAGTCCTCGAACTTGCAGTTTGTGGACTTCTTTCCCGTTCCTCCGTACCCGTACGAGAAGGGCTCCTCACCTGGAACCGGGAAAATCACAATAAACATCCCCTGTAATAACCAGCAAGAGGTGCTAGTGTCCAAAGTCGCCCTGTTTGTACTTATTAATCGAAGATCACACTACCACAGCCATTTCTCACAGAAACAGCTGGGACATGGAAAGCTCAGTGCACATGAAGACAGGCAGGTTGAATCCCAGTGTACCGACAGAGTGAGGAGCTCATGACTTCTCAAGAGGCGGCCACTGTGAGCGCGCTGGAGTCACAGAACGAATGATGTCAGTGTTCACAGGGTGAGTCGGTGAGTTCTCCTCACCCAGCTGAGTGCTGCAGGAGTCCAGGGACCAGCCCACCCGCACCACGTGGGGGTCAGGCTCGCTGGTGGGAAGGTGCTTCACCGAGATCTCTTCATTGATCTGGGGAAGCAGACAGAAGCCGCAGTTACAGCTCAATCTGCTCGATGGCAAGAGCTCGTGCCGGATCGAGCAGCTGATCAAGGCGGGAGAGCGGGACGCTGACCTTCAGCTCGTAACAGACGCGTCCCTTGGTGACCCCGTAAGAGACGCGCGCCCCAGACCACAGGTAGGCGAAACCCTCGATGGTCAAGGGGTAGCCGCTGTAGCGGTCTCGGGACACCTTGAAGTGCAGGTCACAGTTATCTGGGGGCAGGAGAGAGAAACAGTGCGGATTCTAAAACGCTGGCCTAAAAATGAAACGGTGCTCGGCCGATTAGAAACTGGAAGCCCGGACTCACAGGTGTCAATGGCCACCAAGGTGTCGTCGAAGTCCTCCTCTTCCTCCTCCGCAGGAGGCTGCGGGGAACGGGACCTGCAAGTGACAGGAGACAACGGACATGAGAGAGAGAAAGAGGCACAGAGGGAGACGGGAAAGCTGGAGACGGAAGGCAGCAGGGACCTCTTGTCTTCGCGGTGCTCGTAGTAGCTGTGGCCACGGCTTTCGTCGTACGGCCTCTTGCGGCCGTGGGGTGCCGTGTGGCGCTGCTCCTCCTCCACTTTGGGCTTCACGGGCTGAGAGGGCTCTGTCACCGGGGCAGACTCCGAGACCAGCTCCTCCTTCACCTCCTGCTTCACCTCTGAGAAACACAAGCCTTGTCACACAGGCCCACAGTGATGGCACAGCAGCACGGGCAGGGGACAGCACAAGGATACACAACTACCAGCTCTAACACTAGCACAGCTGACTTACAAAAGAATAACCCCCCACCCACATCAATTTCTCTGATGAACTCGGCAACTGTCACAGTATATCTAGTGGATGTCCAATAAGCAAGCAGCTTTACACTTAGGGGGTTGACTTAACACACAAAGGACTTAAACAATTTTCACAGATTGGGCACGGCAGAGTTTTGTTCAGGACGGTACAACAGACATATTATGGAAAGGCTAGGGAAACTCAGTTGAGAAAGGGGTCTGTTTTGCTAAATGGCAGCGTGTACCATGTTCCAGCTCATCTGTCTTTGTGGTGTGGATACTTTGTCCAAATGCAGTCTTTGAGGAAACACCGTAATCTCATTTGTCTTTGTGAATAATTGTTCAGAAGAAAAAAACAAGCTTTTCACACCTACGGCATTATTTGGAGTTTATGGTGGCATCTGGCAGAATTCCATGACTGGGCAATCAATTCAAAAAAAGCCCCAAAACTTTTCTTCCCCAATGTTTAAAAATACAAAACTAGAATCGCCAGCTAATAATAATAAACTTTATTTTATATAGCGCCTTTAAAGGTGGCTTCTCAAAGCGCTTTACAGGATGACAAATGTTGGAGTGGCATGATTTTCAACTGATAATTCTCAGTGATAATGGCTTTTGCTTCAGAGGTGTACTGCACAAATTGGTTGGATTTAAGGAAACCCAGATGATGGATTAAGGGTTTAAGGAAACCCAGATGAAGAACCCACAATGAGGCAAAGCCCACAAGCTACCTGGCTGACTCGGACTCACCTGGACTGCCCTGGTGCTCTTCTCTTTCAGACTCACACTCCTCCTTTATCTCTGGCTCGTTCATGCCATCTGCAGACAGCTCACAGTAGCCCTGGTGTAGGGGCTCCTCACCCTCCATTCCTCCATCTTCTCCATTCTCCTCCTCCTCTTCTTCCTCATCTGCTCAGATATAAAAAACAACAGATTTTATTACTTTAAACGGCACCTTTTTGGAAACTGTTTACATGTAGACCAGATTTTTCTTCTTCAAACCAATTAATAGTGAGAGCCAAGTTTAAGGCCAATGCACAAAAAGAGTCCTGTTACAACAGGGGCTACAGTCCCCGTGCAGGAGAACAGCCCTGTTACAACAGGGGCTACAGTCCCCGTGCAGGAGAACAGCCCTGTTACAATAGGGGCTACAGTCCCAGTACAGTAGAACAGCCCTGTTACAATAGGGGCTACAGTCCCAGTACAGTAGAACAGCCCTGTTACAATAGGGGCTACAGTCCCAGTACAGTGGAACAGTCCTGTTACAATAGGGGCTACAGTGCCAGTGCAGGAGAACAGTCCTGTTACAATAGGAGCTACAGTCCCGGTGCAGGAGAACAGTCCTGTTACAATAGGGGCTACAGTCCCAGTGCAGGGGAACAGTCCTGTTACAATATGGGCTACAGTCCCAGTGCAGGAGAACAGTCCTGTTACAATAGGGGCTACAGTCCCAGTGCAGGAGAACAGTCCTGTTACAATAGGGGCTACAGCGCCAGTAAAGAAAATAAGTCTTACTAGACTCCACCTAAAACAAACAACAATCATTGTAATACATGCTTACAACAAATCCGCACACTCGTGTTACGGCTCACTAAAGCCGTACTATTTTCAAACAAGGGAACTTCGGACTTCCTCCGCGCCAAAACCTAGTCCAACACAAAACCTGAAGAGTCCAAACCATGCTTCCTAAAAACACACATCCGGGCCCTGTATACCAAACCCTTACAGAAATCGCTTCGCAGGAAGCTCAGCTCTGAAACGGAATGCAGATACCGCCCAACTGGGAACTTCAATGATGCCGTGCAGCTAACCGATTTAAAGAATCAACTCACCTTCGTCTTGATAGTCCTCGCCGTCTCCCGCGTCCCCGCCGCCGGAGTACGCTTCCCCGAGAGCGGCCGGCGGTCCGCCTCCCTCCCCGGAGGCCTCGGCCTCGAGTGCCGCCTGCAGCCGCTCGGCGAGCTCCGCCTTCAGGCCGCGGGTGTCCAACCCCCGCCGCTGCAGCTCCTCCTTCAGCTCGTTCACTTTCAGTTTCTTCACGTCCACCGAACTCATCGCTCTTCTCGGGCGGATAAAATGGTGAAGCAGCAGCCCTTTGCTTTTGAATTGGTACAAGCAATCCCACTTATAAGCTCTGAAGAGAAAACGACACAAGAAATCCTCACTGGCTGCCGGCCGGCCTGCTCCGCAGCGCAACTTCCATTGTAAACAAGCGCCGCGACCCGGGAAAACTTCGTGGCATTAAAACACGAGGTTACTGCCCCGTTTAAAAACACTTCAGGTGCACCGAGAGCTGCTTTTTAAATACTGAAGTCGACATTCAAACACAAACAAACTGAACTGGCTTTTAAATGGCTCGAAGGAAGACGAGGCAAATTCAAAACAGCACTCGCTCGAAAACAGCGCCGCCGCTAACCGACGATCGCCTTTAAATCCCCACCAAAATCCCACTTTTTATCACGGATTATTCCGAATGCAATCTACAAGAGCGCTTTCTGATCTTTACGGTACAATAAAGACAGTTTAAAGGCGCAAATTTACCTCTCTCTCCTCGACTCCCTGCACAGCCGTTACCACGGATTCACTTGCAGTTCCACAAAATGGCCGACATTCCCCTCCTTCACCCCCGGTTACAGACTAACCCCGCCCACCCATACCGGCTTTTCCGATTGGTCTAAAGGGGCGTTCGTCCAGCGCAAAGATAGAGGCTACCACCAATCAGTTACGCCGTTCTGCATTAAGCAGAACGTCAGCGTCGACGACGGCAGGGGCGAAGGCGATTGGCGGATGCGAAGTGATTGACGTGCAAATGGCTACGTCCACGACACTTTTCCCGGCGAAATTGCAAACTTGAGTCTGCGCAGACGTACGGCGTACTGTTTATGGGGAATCGTCTTTCGGTGTTGAGATAAACATGGAGGTGGCGTGGAGGGATGTTATGATCCGCAGTAGAAGCTGATGCAATTGAAACCCCTTTGGGTAAATGGCAACAAACCGAAAGCAACGTACTATGTGCACTTGGGCCCCTGGTTAGCGCTCAGCCCCGTGATAAGATGATGCGCTACCTTAATGGAAACCGCAACGCTATTTTCATATTTCGGGGTTAAAAAGATTCAGCATTGATGTGTGCATTTCAAACCGCAATAAAAGTAAAGTCTCCACAGTAACTTGTCAAACCTCCCATGTACATCACAAAATAGAGGAAATTTCCAGGTAAGCACAGCCCCATATCCTGCGGTACAGAGTGAGGCAACAAAACGGGTTACGGGGAAAAGCAGGCTTGTGAATACTTGTCTTTTAATCCAGTAGAAATGTAGCTTTCCATTTCGACACGGCTTTGCCACCAGATACTACCTACTTGTTCACTGTGCGTGTAGATCACGTTGGAACATTTCTGCGGTGAAATGCCTGCTGCCCAACTCGTTATTCGCTCGTCCATCACGGTATATTAGTCAATATGAACAAGTAAGAGGTTTATTCCTTGCTGAAAAAAGAAGAAAGAAAACACAACGTTTCGGCTGTGGAGCCATCTTCAGGTGTGAGGAAGGCTTCAGGTGCTTACACCTCAAGAAAGCTCCACTGCCGAAACGTTTTTTTTCTTCTTTCCAGCATGGAATAAACTTCTTACTTGTTCCTTTGCAGCCTACGCGTGCAGACGCAGCTTCTCAACCTATAATAATAATAATAATAATAATAATAATAATAATAATTGCTTACACTTATATAGCGCTTTTCTGGACACTCCACTGAAAGCGCTTTACAGGTAATGGGGTCTCCCCTCCACCACCAATATATACATATACCTGTATTAGTCAATATGGAGACTAGTGAGCAGGAAGTGTCGTATCACGTCGCGATTCGGGGGACCTCGAACGTGAGTCTGCAGTAACATGGCGACTTGCGGTACTTTCACGAAGTTCACGGTTTCGTGCTGAATTTGAAATGTTGTAATTTTCTTCTGGAAAGTGGACGGATTTTGTTTTGTTGCCGAGATTTAATAACGGGTCTGAGGAACGAGGACTGCAGCTCCCCTTTAAGATACGCTGCAGTGAACTGGGCCGCTGAAGTAAGTTCACAGCACCGGGACTAAACCTCTTCTCAACTGCAACAAACCCAAAGTGAAGTAAAGCCAACTTATTCTCTGTACCCCCAAACCCCCAATACGCCTGCTTCCCCACGAGAACTACAAGTGTAGAGTCCCATCCCAATAAAACCACACATCTATTCCACTGACACCTAGATGTGACAGAACACACTGAGGACTTACACCCCATTAAAATACGTCTCTAATTTCAGTACCCTTCTCTCCCCAGGACACCTGGAAGTTCAGATCGCATACAGATACTAAGAAAGATAGACGTTGAAGTTCATTATTAATAAATTGCACTTTGATTAATAAACAGGTGTACGGATAAACTTCATTATTAATAAACGTGGTGTGACTGGAAAGCGATTTTGGGATCTTACTTAAATATTACTATAATCGTCCAAGCAGGTGCATACATTCATGGTATAATAATAATAATAATAATTGCTTACACTTATATAGTGCTTTTCTGGACACTCCACTCAAAGCGCTTTACAGGTAACGGGGATCCCCTCCACCCCCACCAGTGTGCAGCCCCACCTGGATGATGGATGGCAGCCATAGTGCACCAGAACGCTCACCACACACCAGCTCTCAGTGGGAGGCGAACAGAGTGATGAAGCCAGTTCAGAGATGTATTCATGGTGTAGCGATGATATTATTTCCACTGTATTCGGGAACGTCCTCACGTGTTCCAGTGCTCCTCTGCTATTGGAAGTGACGATGTGCAGGCCCACCCGGAAGGCGTTGGCAGGTGAGGCAGCCCCGCGCAGGGAGAAGAGCCGAGATGGGCCCTGGAGATGCTGTCCGCTCCGATCCCTGCGCCTGTCGAGGGCCACAGTCGGCACGCGGGAGGTGTGGAGTTGTCTAATGCCCAGAGAAAACAAGACAACACAGTGCAGAAAACACACAAATGGCACACAAACCTCTCTCACCATTGCGATTGCGAACTGTTTCATCCTTCACAAGGAGCTGGAAGAGGGTGGTGGAAGGACAGGGAAAAATTGTGTTCCTGTGGCCATTGCAGAGAGAGTGAAAGCTTTGAAATCCTCTGAGGGATGTAAATACTACTAATGATAATAATTCCTTACCCTTATATAGCGCTTTCCTGGACACTCCAGTCAAAGCACTTGACAGGTAATGGGGATCCCCTCCACCACCAGTGTGCAGCCCCACCTGGGTGATAGTGCACCAGTACACCAGCTCTCAGTAACTACGCGGGCCGCTGGGACGTGCTGATCCAGCAGGCGACGCAGTGTCTGAACAGGCTGATCCAGATCGCCGCGCGCAAGAGGCGCAACTACATCCTGGACCAGGTACTGCCCCCCCTCCCCCAGTCCTGTCTGCAGCCCCCTGCTCGCACACCTGCCACCTGTGCTCCTGCTCACTGACACGCGCGCGCACACCTGCTGCTGTCTGTCTAGCGTACAAGGAATATGGATTTGTTTCTGTAACCCTTCATGTGACTCGGCCTCACTCGACCATGTTATAATAAATAAAGCTCAGGTACTAAGAGATTTTAGATTTCCTCTTTTTCAGTTTGAAAACCGGTAGTCATCAGCCTCCTTAGCTTTCATTTAGCCATCCGCTCTATGATGTTTTGCAGTTTTCTGACGAGAAAATTTTTGGAGCTCAGAAGGTGTTTGTGTGTATACGCTCATTTAAATTCATAACATACCAGTTTCTTTTTAGAACCTCTTTTTTAAAGGGGAGATTGTATCTATCGAAGGTCAAGGGGGGACCTGCGTCAGCTGGCGTAGGCTGAAAGGGAACAGGTAATGATTTCTTTCATGCTAAAAGGAAAAGAAAAACAATGTTTCGGCTGTGCAGCCTTCTTTAGCTCTTAATTGTCAAGCCTTGCCCTTTCCTGCCTCACAGTGGTAGGAGAGTGTGACAAGGAAGATGTTGTGCTCATTGCCAATACTATCCAATGCAGTGCTACACTTGACTTTTATTTCCAGATACAAACCTTTTTCCTCCTCTTTTTGCGGGATCTGAGTGTTTCGTGGGCCTCTTCAGCCCCTCAGGTCTCAGGATCCCGAAAAGGGAGTTCTGACTTTCTGAACATGTCGGAGTTGAGACAAGAAAATGAGTTTGTCTTTGCAGAGATGTCTCGAAAAACCTCCTGTTTTCGACATGCGCTTGTTTGTGCTAGCAAGGTCATTTTTATATAAGGAAGACTATTCAAGTTTGACTTCTTTGAGCCATAGAGCTCTTCTGCTTTAATTTGGTTGACCTGCTCTTATTTGGTAGTTGGCAGGCCTCACTGTTATATGACCAAGGCAAGGTTGAAACATTAGCTTCACAGTGCAGCACTCTTTCTGTAAACAAGTCTGGAATGAGCTGTCATTCTTCGTGAGGTGGGAAGACTTTCCAGTTCAGAAAGGTATGAAGTGACTTGTAGAAGTAGTCCCATGTTCCACACCGTGTCTGGTCACT